GCTTCCATGCCGCCGTGACCGGACGTACTCAGGGCCAGAGTGAGCCTGTTCCTGGTCTGAAAGGCGTACCGCAACCCCGCCTTGATGTCGTCCATTAGCTGCGAAAGAAAACTCCAAAGCAATAAACAGTTTATCGCTCTCGGCTTCGCGGAAACTATCACGCGCGCGTGGCGTTACTTTAAATCTCAAACTCGTGATGGTATATATTGAACGATGAAACGCGGTAGTTTCAAGGTCACGAGATCTCGCGTAGCCCCGGAAATACCTGGCATATCTCCGGGTGAAGGTGACCGAGCACTTGCTGTTCGAGAGAACGGAGAACGCGATCCGAGCAGTTGCTGGGACCGGGGCCTGTTAAAGTCTTCACGGGCAGAGACACCGGTCGCAGTATCTCTCCCGGTGGCTCCGGGCAAACGGCGCATCGTCGCCAGGTAGGTGAATCTTCCATAATTCCGGGTTTTTCTCACGAGACTCTCGCGGTTCTACCGAAATCGCGATGGTAGAGGAAATATAAAGAGCGCTTGGGCCTCGGAGCAAAGATGAACTGGATGGATGTGATCAAAAACACTGCGTCACGCCAAGATGTTATAGTTGTAGATAAGAGAGTCGTCAAGATAAGAGAGTCGTCGTCGTCGTCGTCGTTCGATTTCTCTCTCCTCGTGCGTGTGCTTTTATCGTCTGGAACCGCGCGTAAGAACGTGGATTCGAAACGTGGTTTCTCTCATTGCGCCGTCGAGGACGAAATCAGGTGAAAATTATAGTTGATCGGATAAAGCGTCGAGTATCCACGTTTCGAGATAACGTAGATATGCGACTTAAATTCCGCGTGTTTGGATGACACTGAGGAATCAGGCCACTTGTGCATCCGATTCCTATCAGTAATTAATTCATTTGATCGCGTGTCACTCGACACGAAAACCCGAGATTCTTCATCGTGAGATAACATATTAGTTTCATAAATTTTCCTTCTACTTATCTTTGTTCTCACTCTGCGTTTGTTCGTGAAGCAAGTTCAACGATAATCCAAGTGTTCCATAACAATGAAGATAAATAAATAGCAAATTAAATTTGTCAAAATAAAATATTTTAAGTAATTAATAAATATTAAAAGTGAATTGAATTTAAAAAGTTATAAATAGATAGAATTAATCTCAATTTAAATATTAATTTCGTTATAACATTATAAATTCTTTTTTATATATTTGATGAACGATTATCAAGTTTTTCAAAATAGTTTAAACGTCTAGCTGACTTTTCATCCTGTAAACATAAATATATATACTACGACACTGCGTCGAATGATAAACATCTCGATACACAGCGAGATACGTTAACGATGACAGTATAATATTTATTATCGTCCATAAAGTGAGATAGGTCAGGAACCTGGAACGAGAGGGCATTTGCAGCGGGAAATCTTTTATTTTAACAAAATTATACAGATACATATGTTGAACCTGACAATATCGAGATATTTCACGCTAGACAGAGCAACAGGCAAATGTCCTCCGAGCGTCGGAGGTCGGAGGATAAACGAGTAAACGAACGCCGGGTATATATATTCGGATACATCGTTCGCGCGGCAAGTGGATTACCGTGGCGCCATCTACGGAACGACGCGGGCGTGCGCGCGCGCACTCGGGAATTCGGCACGCGGCTCGTTCATGGCCCGTCGTGCGACGTGCGAATCCCGCGCGGTACGTTCCCCGATTCAGTTCTGTCCAGTCTCGGATCAGTCGGATCTCGATCGGATCGCAGGTGAGACCCACGACCCACGTATGCGTGCGATTCGCGCGAGACGTCGGTCGCGTCTCGCGGAAAAGAAAGACCGAAAGCGTGCGGCGCGTGAACGTGGAACGCGGCACGTTTATCGATCGAGCGTCTCTTCGATCGTTTTGTCAGCGGGTCGAAAACACGGCATTTTTTTTCCCTCGGACGGGATCGCGCGGCGTTTTTATCGACCGAGCGATCACCGAGTGATCGATCGGGCGGCGAAGGGGGAAGGGGAAACCTGGATTCGTTGGCGTCCGGCGTGCTGCGTGCTTCCTGTTATTCGGAATTTTCGATAGATCAGCGACGCGCACGTGCGCCCGTCGCGCGGAACGAGAGTGAACGTACATACACATACGCCCACGTATCGCGTGGATCGCGTCGATCACGGAAACTCGAGAACGACGGCTGCGTCGTCGCCCTTCTCTCCGCGATCTTTCGTCCCTTCTCTTCTCCCCTCTTCCTCTTTGCCTTCTTCGCCGCCACCCGCCGCCGCCTTCTCCTCCTCCATCCTCCTTCTCTTCTCTTCGCTACGGCTTTTCTCGGTCGACCGGTCGACTGCCTTCTCAAGGGGGCGTGCTTGCTCGCGTACAACAATGAGCGAACGCGAAACTATCTGAGCACGAGGCGCAAACGAATCTCCGTGTTCTTCGTGTGGTTCGTGTGTGGCCCCGGCCGGCCGTAAGCTCGGCGCTCGGCGCTCCGTGCGTGGCACTCGATCGCGAACAATCGTGGCACGTGAACGAGTTGCGGTTTGCGGAGGATCGTAGGGGGCCTTCTCCTCTTTCTCTCTGCGTATCTGCCGTCGACGATCCGAAGGGATAAAAAGGGCCCCTCCGCCGAGGAGCGTTCGGACTCGGACGCGCGGAGATCGTGTCCCGTTCGCGGCACTCTCTCGAGGCTGGGCTCCTCTCTCTCATCTCGCCGCTACGAGGTATCCCCCCGCTTTATAATTATACCGGATCCAAGTACGTACGATTTTTGGCCGAGTCTCGCGTTGGTCTTTCTCGCGCGACGATCGATCGAAGGCGCGGATCGACGAGTCCCTTCGTCTAAAATCTCGTCGCCCGAGGTGGTTGACTTCTCGCTTCGCTGGTGTTTCCGAGTGCGATAAACGTGCACGCGATAGACTAATCTTTCGTCTCTCCTTTTTTCTCTTTCTCGTTCTCTCTTTCTGTGCGTCTGTGAAGAGTGTGAAAGATCTATTACCCGTCAAACGTGAAACGGATTAACGCACGGTATTGGACCCTCGAGAGAGGATAAGTAAGGATAAGGATTTAGACAAACAACCTTCTCCAGTCAACGACCGTACCGTTTTTTTTTTTGTCGGAAGAGCGATCGTCGTTGAAGAGCTGCTAAAAGACGAACCTTTTCATTGTCGCGAGATGGATGAGTTCACGCGCTTCTAAATACAACTGTATTGTTCACCAGTTTCTTAAATAATTTGTTTTTCACCGATTTCAGCGATCGCTCGGATGGCAAAAGAAACGCCCGAGAGTTGAGGTCTTTAGTTTTCGCACGTGCTACCGAATCTGCCTGGAATTTCTCCATTGTGAGCGATCGAAATGTTGACGTGTTACATTACCAGTACGGCGGAGAATTTTAATGACTAACTTCATATCATTATCTGTAATATGTATTATGCATAATGTGTTATACGTATAGGCAATTTTGTGCGTGAATGTGAATGTGTTTGTGGAATTTCGAGTCTCGGCGTCAACACGTCGTTTCATCCACATTTCGCACGCGAGATACCGCCGACTTCCGAATTCTAAATTTTAAGAGGAAAAAAGAATTTAAACGAGTTTACGATCGTAGGTCAATCGACGTTTATCGGTCCTGTGTGCTCAGGTGCGTGGCTCTTTGCGCTCGAGATATTTTTATCGCGATATTATGAAACGTCCGGAGTGTGCGCGCGTTTACGCGGGGTAGTAAATATTTTCACACCTCTGTGTGTGACTACTCGAAGGCACGCGAGAAAGAGAAAGAGAGAGAGAGAGAATTGTGCCTCGTGTCGCCGCGCCGTCCTCGCGGTGATATTCCACGTAATTTTGTTTACAGGCGAATTTATCCGCGCCTAAAATTTTTAATTTACGACGAGCGCGAGGCTCAGCGTTGTCGTTCGATCGATTATCTCCCCCCCCCCCCCGCGTGTGATTAACGGACCTCTCGATAGTGCGTAAATATTTAGGATGGAACGCGCCCGCACCTGCATCCCGGTCGAGAAAGATCACCCAGGCGTGTCTTATCCGCCACTCGCGCGGACTCCGCTTCCTTCCGACTTGGTATTTTTCGGTCGTCGCGCGCGATAAAACGTGGGACGACGGACGAATTTCGCGTTCGCTTTCTCGCCGGACGAATTTCGCAACCGCCTCGCGTTTCGGTAAGTGCGTTAAATAACGCCGGCGTAATCCTCCCGACGAGGACCGTGAACAACCGACTCTATTGTCTTCCCAGGCACGTCGCGCGCGCGAACCACGTCGCACGGGCGCGACTCACTCACGCGGTGTAAGATACATTTGTTTTCCTTGATTCTAGAGAAACCCCGATGGAACGCGTAGCGTGGAGGGAACCGGGGTGGTTCAGTTAAGGCTCCCCGAACGATGTGCCATGGCCTCATCCTTAGGGGGCCCAGGAATGACCGCGGGCGTCCCGCCGCCGCGAATAGTCAACCTGGAATTTCCCCCACCTCCACCTTATCCGCCGCCCCACAGTCAGGTAAATCTCGCCGAGTGCGAGTCGTTAATTTCGCTAACGACGCACGTTAATTTCATGCGTTTAATTGCGCGCGACAACGAATGACGTGAGCGACTCTCGTGAAAACATTTATCCTTATTTATTCATCGTTAACTTGACGCTGCTTATACCGTTCAAAGGTTTACTTTATAATCACAGCGGCGATGGCTTTATGTTTTTCGCAGATATCGTGCCCCGCGTTAATGGAACCGGTATCGTCACCCATCACGAGCTCACGACAGCATCTTTTGGATTATTCGTATGCGTACTACCAGTCTGATTCTGGTCATTTCCATGCGACATATCCGACAGAGGTGCTGTCGCAGCAGCAGCAGCAGCAGCAGCAACAACAACAAGAACAACAGCAACAGCAGCATCAGCTACGACAACCTCAGCAACAGTTGCAGCAGATAAGGTCGGATGCTTTAAAGAGACACACTTACACAACTTGCTACGGCACGGAGGAAAACATTTACGAAGAGATATCGGAAATCAGGTAAGTATCCATTAAGAGATCATCTGCATGAACGGATTATTAGCTCTGAGAAATGTTGAAACTCGCGACAAATACGCGTTTATACGCGGCTTACGAATGGTCGCGAAATAAATCTTCTCGCGGACGTAAGCGAGTAATACGCGACGCAAGTGAACAACAATTACCAACTCCCCACGGTTCAATGTATCTTGGAGCGGATGCCAGAGATAGCGATTGAGTTAGGAACAATAAGAAAACAAGTTGTGTGGATTATTCATCCAGCGTCCTCGACTGGCGCATAAGTCATTGAGACGAGATAAACCGCGCGCGCGTTCAAATTGAGAACGCTCGTTAAGTGCACAGCTATATTATTCCATACGTCGTCGAGAGGCCACGGATAGTCTATCACTTCTTCTTGCGAACGGTTAAATCAGTGCGTGAATTCAATTTAATTGTGTATTCATTATTCATTTAGCGCAGAGTATTTATACATATAGTTTGTAATTTAGAACGAATTACTACATTATAACGACGTTGACATAAATACAGTAACATAAATAATCGCGTGAAAATTAAATTGATCTCTCACCGAACTATACCGGATAAATATTTTCAGCAAGCAATGCCATCGCGCGTTACACGGATCGCGACGGTCGCTCGTGGCAGAGGAGGTGCGTCGCGTACAATCGCGACACCGTCGCGTGCTCGGGGAACTCAATTTAAGCGTGGAGGCGATGCTGATGCCGACCGCGGTCGACAATAACGAGGAGGAAATGGCGCAAGAAGCCCATGGAACCTCCACCGAAGAGCTGTTGCCTTCGGTTGGCCCCGCCGACGATCTCCTCTCCCGCGTTGGGTGTGACATGGACAGCGGCTTCAGTGGGAGCTCTACCGCGAGTTACAGGTACGTTGGAGAACCGCTATCGCGTTTGTTTGCCTTCATTCGTGCTGGTGCGGATAGATCGCACGCACGCTGTGTTTTTAAACGGTGCTCAGTTTTGAAAGCAAATCTACCAGTCTTATTTGAATTTAATTCACAGATCGGGCTTGGGTTCTTTAAGAAGAGGAATGGGAAGAACGAGCGGTTCGGAACCGATCGGCGTTCTGCGTAAGACGAAAGCCGCCATGATTTGGAAGAAAGGCTGGAAAGGTTGGAAAAAACTCCACTCCTTCGGGAGCAGCAGCAGCAACAGCAGCAGTAACAGCAAGATCGTTGGTGAGTCCGATCAATCAGTAGCATTGATTTCGTTCACAAGAGATAAGATAAAGGAGGCATATGGTAGCCAAAGTATCCAATACTCACGCGATAACCCATCTCGCTGTCGTCCTTATCGCATTCTCGTCGTTTCGTGAATATGATAATCGTAGGCTCGGTAGTCGGTTGCAGACTGCGTGCGACTATGAATTACTCGCGCATGAGCAATCCGTTACAAATTCTCGATGCGTAGTTCGTTGCGCGGCAAGAATACAAACGGCGTTTTTCTTGAGGCGCGTTTCTTAGAAGCGAGAAAGGAAAGGACGCGCAGCGCGATTTTCTCTTATTTTACATATAGTCATATAGGCACACGCGCGACGAACGAAAAATTGTTACAAAAACGCGAGAAGCGGAGGGGAAAAGGGAGAAAGGAGGGGTATTTTTATATATCGTAACCATTACGCAAGTTTTCAAGAATCGTGATTGCTCGTGACAAAACGGAGAGCGCACCTACGGTTTACAAAAAAAAAGTAAACGATTACGGAATGCTCTCGGGGGAGAGCGGATATTCGAGCATTGTCCCTGCGCCCATTTTAAGGTGTTTTGTCGCGCATAACTGCGCGAGTACGCATAGCCTTTCTTTTTATGAGAACGCCTGCTCGCGGAGTACGAACGCACGAGCACGTTCATACTCTGGTCCGTGCGCTCGCGTGCATTTGGCGAATGGAGTTAATTATTGGTACTTGGAAGGGGTCAGCCATGGGGTCACTCGGTGGAGAAGCAGATGCGAGATCACGTGAAACCTCCGCCCCCTCCCTTCCCTCCCACCCTATTTTTCTCTCTCTCCCCCTCTCTTTATCTATCTATCCTTGCTTCCCCTTTTTCTTCTGGCTTACGTCGCGTAACCCTCTTTCGGCTCTACACGCTCACTTGGACTCATTATACTTCTCTCGTCGGTTGTTTCACCACTTCGTGAAAAAGCTGGCGATTTCTATTCCTACTTCCGATAAATCAAGGCGATCATTAACGTACCGTGTAATATATTTTCCGTGAACTAGCTTCATATAATAATATACAAAATTTATATCTACGCATGCGAGTGTGTATGTTAATTAACCGAATTATTTTCCGTATAATATAAAGGAATCTGGAAAAGGTAGTTTTGTTTATGTGCTCAAACAATTATTGCTCGTCTTTTTTTTTACGTTTATCCCAATCACTTTGCGTATTATTCGTGCTTTTTTTTATTGATAATGTGGTTCGAAAAGAGAGGAGTGAGTACTAGCAGTGGATTCAACAGTTCATCTAGGAGCGTTTTGAAAGGTGACAGCTGAAAACGAATATTTCTGAAACGCTAATAGTTTCTCGAGTTTACGGTCTCATTGTGGCAACGTAAATAAAAATAATCCGCGTGGAATTACAATCGCGCAGCCAGTGGCGCCGTCTAGCGGCAATGCTGCGACGAAAGAGATGGTGTCGAGAACGTGTTCGGCGTGACACCGTACCGGTCGAGTCGCATTCGTGTCTCTCACGTATACATTTATCGTACATACATGTGTACCGTGTATATATTTATATTCGTAATGCGAGGCCTCGACGAGGCCCAGTAGCGAGAAACTCGCTTCGATTCACGCAATATAATTCCATTCCGTACCCGCCCTCACGGTAATAGAACGAGAATTACTTTTATTACCCGAGTCCAATTACCCTCGTTAACACGTCACGCCGATTTATAACAATCGCGGTACACCTTGCCGTGCGGCATACGCTTCGGCAAAGAGTCTCGCAATGCGTGCCACACACCGCCTGGTGTTCTGGCGGTGGTCCCCCCTCCCTCTCACCCCCGCCTGAAGCGAGATTATCACGCGTCTTTCTCTAGCGCTCGCGTTATCTCGAGTCTTTCTCTATCGCTCTTACTATCTCTACTCCGCGGCACAGCTGTTGTCACAGAAATATATATACATATTTCCTTCTCTCTCTTCTTTTCCCTATCCCTTCTCGCGCGTTCTGCACCGCGCCTCTTCCTCTCTTTTATATTCATTCACCGTCTCTCGGACTCGTCCGTCCACCTCTGTTTTCTCTTCCTCTCTCGGCCTCCGTACCACAGCTGCGCTGCGAGCTGCGAGGCAAGCGGCCGAGGCTGTTCGTTCGTGCGTTTCACTCTCGATCGCGTACTTTCTCTCTCGTTTGTCGGCTGCACACCCTCCTTCGTTGTGTCAGCCGTGCACGGCCGTTCGCTTGCTCGCTCGCTCGCGTTCCTTCCTCCCTCTCTCCTCTCCCCCTCCCCCCTGCCCAGCCAGAGTACGCTTCGGTCTCCGTTTCCTCCGCATGCCCTTCGCCTCTTTCTCGAACCTCCGGCGTCAGTGTTGTATAGCGGGCTACGCGCAGCGAGCGAGCGAGCGCGCGCGGAGGGCCGGGGCCCTCCAGAAACACGCGGCGCGGCGCGCGGCCATGTTGACTCGCGTCGCTCGCTCTCGCTCGGCTCGCCACGGCATCGGCATCGCTTCGCTTGTGGCCGCTTCTTCGTCGAGCGCGGCGCGGCCCGACGCGAAGCGTCCCGGTTCCTCCTCCTCCTCTACCTCCTTATCGCTGGACGCCGCGGCGTTGTTAATCGCGCTGGCCGCGGCCGGCCGCGTGCGCACGTGCCCGATGTGATTTTTCGCCTCGTATAAAATCGCATAATAATCGCGCATCCGGGGCGTGCGCGTGCGCGCGGGCGAGCGCGCGCTTGTGTGTAATGTGTGTGTGCGTGGGGTGTGCGCGCGCGCGCGCGCTATGAATCCGCGTGTGGTAGCGCGATTGCGTTCCGCAAATACGCTCGGCGCGATGATGGTGGAGTGAGCCGTGCGAGGGAGGAAGAAAGAGAAAGAGGGGGTGTGTGTGTGTGTTACCGCGAGTAAATCGTCGCAAGGAACATTCGCCTCCGCGAGATGGAGGAACCGCACAACGGGGTTGTCCTCATCAAATGTAAGTAGGCGGATTTTCCGAGAGCACAACGCGATGCGCACAGACCTCCCCGGGGGTCCTCCGGTTCTCCTATCTTTTCTCTCGGCGATGTACGCCTTCGCCCTACGTTCGCGATTCGTCCCTTCGGGTCTCTGGACGTCTCGCTTGTTCGATCCTCGCGATCGAACGGAACGGAATCCGGAGCGGAAACGGATGTGATATATCATTTCGAACGTGTATGATCGCTTTATCACGATGCAGAGTCGTTGCTTCTCGCGAGGCAGAATCTCTCGCGCGCGTTCGCGCCGGGAAGCGTCGTTGGTTGCGTCGACGCTTTGACGGAATTGCGTTATGTCAGCGGTACCGGTACCAGTTTCCGGCTGACGCGACGTACATACACGGGGCATCGATGGTTACCCCGGGAATCTACGATTTAACGTTGCGCGACGCGCAGACGATAGGAAAGATTGTTTGCATTCGTACCCTTCCCCCCTTCTCTCCTCTCGTTTTCCCTAAAATCTTCCGCAGGATTAGGATCGTCGAGAGACAATGCTTGGAAGCAACCCGCAGATCTCGATCTCGATTAATCGGATTAGACGTAGATTAATTCTCGGGACTAGACATGAAAAGATCACTGTTAAATATTGAAGGATAAAATTGAAATCAGTATCTTTTGAGTTAGACAACATCTTGTTATTTTTACTTTAACTACCGTGTATGTCGAAATTTATTATTTTATCACAAAATAGTATTATTTTAATTATTATCTTTTAATTATTATTTATTACTCCATTGGTGTTTAAATGTTAAATTAGCATTATTTTAGTTAAATTAATGACTTTTGAATAGGAGCAGTGACGATTTATAGGAATGGTTAAAAAGTGACTCAAATTGAGTATAATTTGACGCTGCGAATCTAACAGAAACCGGCGATAATTTCAAATTGCCAACATTCTTGGAGATATTTCATTTTTTAGACGCTTATATACTTTGCAATTTAGCAAGCGGTCTTAAATTTTGATTTTATAATTGCGTTTTAATTGTTTTATGACATTTGATACTTTCCTGGAAAAAAAGAACCTGTCGGAAAATACCTACGCATTTCTGGCAGAGTTTTTACATATAAAAATATCCGACTGGACGTAAAGAAGCCAACCTGTAGTCTGTGTATAGGTACATGGAAGTATCACGTGTTGTCCCAGAGTTGTCTGCCCAACAAGTTTCGTGTGGCTTACCCTACATGCCGCGGTGAAATTTCCATTATAAGTATATAATAATAAAATATTCAATATGATCTGTAATAATGTGATTAATTGCGTTAAATTCCAACTTATGCCAACTAAGTTATAATTCACTAACGTTATGCGTTGAGGATGACAAAGAAAAGGGTCGAAACGTACGCTAATATTGCTTGATTGGTTTAAATTATAATAAATAGCGCACTAATTACCGTGCCTGGCTCTTATTGCCGTTTATATTTTTTTATTTTATTTAAGAGAGCCTAATATATTTTTATTTATTGTTGTTTAACATGACCAAATAATGATCCATCCTCATGGGTAGCGTGTTAAATTGCATACTGTTTATTTTATATCATTATCGCTATGTCAAAATTTTAAATCTGATTTATTTTTTATAAGCGTTTAAAAAGAATTTCGATAGCGCCGGTCGCCGGCGATCATCCAGGGCGCCGCTGAAAAATCCGACGCCGCGGTCACGGATGATCACGGATGGCGGTCAGCGTATTGACGCCGCCCTGGTATTTACGTCCACGAGTGTGATCTCGATGATCGAGTTTGCGTCAAGCATATCGGCCTTGCGTAGCCGCGTCCGCGTGCACGGTTAATTATAGTTTCGACAGTTATCGCCAGTGGGAACGGCCATTGGAACGCCCGCATCGACGAAGATTGGGACGATTGCGTCGGCGTACCGACGCCAACCCGCCATAGTTCACCGGTCCATTTCACCGCGCGTTTGCGTTTCGTCAATCGTCATCTCTCCCGCGCTCGGTTTTCGTCGATCGCCTGGATCGGAGATCAGAGATCGGTAATTGTTCGTCGGAGACGCGATCGACAATCGAGCCGTTACGACGCCGTTTCCCGGGGGGTCACTCGGTAAGCGCGTAAGGTCATATCAGGTCGGCCCCTCGCGTTAGTTCGGAACGCGCAATCGGTTAATCATTAACCGACGCTCTGACCCGTGATACGGTATGGAAAATCGCTGCGTTGCTCGCGCACGTTGAACATTGCTGAGACTAACGCGAATATGAGAAACGTCACGAAATATAGTGGAAAAAAAAAACAGAAAAGCTGTCATTAATCCGCGCTTTCGAAAAGTTTCCGTATTATCGTTGCCCAAATCGCATCTTAGACTACCTATAATTCGTATGAGAATTTAGGGTAAAATTTTAGTAATTGACATGTGTAGTGCGGAGAAAACATTCATGGAATCATAAATAGATACGCGTCTATGAAGTACATATCAAAATACACGAAAGTATAAAATTATAAAACGAAAGACATACCGTTCTGGAGTCCGACGTAAAGATAGATCGTCCAAACTAAGCTTTACATTGCAGAATATATTATTTAATCTACTGCAGCTATAAATACTTCATTAAAATTATTATTTCACTGTACTATAGCTAAATACTTCTAATTTCTATTATAGTTAATACATGTATATCTCTAAAACTTTATCTTCGTGCGATATATATTTGATATTGTAAAGAGATGAGTATAAGGATCATCGGACGTCTTATGCAATCGATAAAGAAAGCAATTCACAGCTTGATCCGCATATGTAAAGTAGAATGTCTGTCTATATGTTTCCCTATTAACTTTTAAACTTTTTAACCGATCTGGACCAAACTTTGCATAGTTACTCTCTAGACTTCTGCGAAAAATATAGACTACCATGAAACCCCTGTGGACACACCACTTCCCGATTTCATCTCTTTGACACTTGGTGATAATCTCAGGCAACACCGCGGGTAGTTCAAGCTAGTGACGAATGAAGATGGATCTCTGAATGAGGAGACGATGAATTCGTGTCCTAATTATAGAATTAGATTGTATAGAATTATATCTCTGCTGTCGTGTGCCTTCGAACAAGCGCACCGTCCACGTTACGCAATACCGAATATCTAGTGCATCGAGGGAACCTTGTTGGCCGTGCGTGGGCGCACCTCTTTATCGCAAAAGCGCCTATTGAAATGTCACGCGGACTCGCGGATTTTTCGCACATTGCATTGCTCGAAAGCTCGCGCGCGCGCGCGCCGCGCCGTTGCTCCATATTCATAGCCGCCACGAATGAACTGGTTGAGATAGTGAAAGGAAATTGGGCGAGTACCCAGATAAATAAACGCGCTGAAATGCTTTTAGATTTATGGCCCGATCGACGCGCGAAGCGTCGTTCGACGTGAAAACGTCAACGCGTGACCTTCTCCTCCATTTTTCCCACATCCTCCTGACGCGCGTCGCTTCGAGCTTTCGCAACGCCAGACACGCTCGTGCGAAGGAGAAGAGAGAGAGAAAAAGGAAAGAGACGAAAAGGACGTTTTACCGAGTAAACCGACGACTCTCCTCGCTCGCCGTTGTCAGGAACGAGATTACGGCGTTAGCTTAAGAAGAGAGCCGGCTGATCTCTCTCGCCCGTCGCGCCCGTCTGTGAACCAACGCGACCGGCTCGCCAAGGCTCGATTGCCTTAAATATGTAGAGTTAAACAATTGTCTCTCGTTATGACATTTAGGTTTAATGCTCCCGCGGAAAGTGGAACGTTCCACGCCTCCCCGCTTCCCTCCGATTTGTCTTCGGATAACGGACAATGGACCGCAATATATCGGTTGCATCTCCATTGCGTTCGACCTTTCGATAAGACGATTTTCTATATAAAACGCCCCGCGCGGTAAATTAATTGAGTTTCTGGGAGATGCGATCAGCGGAAGCCAGAAACCGCGAAAAAGTATACCCATTATGGATAAACACGGCCGTTCAAGCGGGTTCAAGCTAGCCGGCTACGGTTCGTGGCGCGGAAACGAGCCGGGCAGGAGGGAGCGATTCGTCATACGTCTCTTTTTTCTCTCTCTCTCTCTCTCTCTCTCTCTTTCTCCTTCTCTCTTCCTTTTCTCTTCTCTGTGTATACGCGGGGGCACGCGCGAGCAGGTTGATAGAGAGACAGAGGCGCGATAGAGGCTCGCTCGTCTATCCCGAGGAGGAGTAGTGTCGGCCGCGTGTGCACGTCGCTCGGTTCGCGAAGGAGGATGCGCGGCGCGCGCGGCATCCCGTGAATCACACGCACGCACGACGCGTTCGCGTTCTCGCTCTCCTTACCTGTCCGCCCGCTCTCTCTCTCCTCCCGAGCTCTCTTCTTACCTGCCTTGCCACCTTGAGCCTCGTCGGCCGCGCGAGAGCGTGCGTGCGTTGCGCGTCGCGCGGCGAGCACGTTTACACGCGCGAGCACGCAACGTTCCCCCCGGTGCGTGGGTAGCGCAAGAACACGAAATCGGGGGCCCCCGCGACGGATGATGGGGCCCGCGATCTCGTCCCGCGTTTTCTTTCCACGTGAAAGTATTAGGCAATCGGCGCGTGGTAGGCGTTTGCGTTTCATTTTTGTGCGGCTGTCGGTGACACACGCCGCGTATAGTCGCGGCGCCGGTTACGCGCGTGCCCCCGTAATCGTTCTGCGTTATAAAACTCGTTTTTTTTCTCTTTCTTCGTGGAATTGGTCTCGGTGGAACGAGACGAGCGAGAAATCGACGATACTGATCGCCGCTCGTTGGAGCAGCGATTTATTTACCGTCGTCCCGGTGCCCTCGGTTCGGAATTTCTAAAGAACCTCGCGACGTCGTAAACTGACATTGATTACGTAGTTTATGATTTCACGTTTTTTTTTCTTTTTCCCCCCACTGACCGCGCACTCTACGTTTGTATAAGTATTTCTTGCGTATCGCGGCGTGAACGTGTTATCCGCGAGACGTGATCGCTTTGTTTCCGCGAGAGGATTCGCCAGAAGAGGGGTCCAGTCCCTCGGTGTCCGACGATTGCGTCGTAGATCGTTGCGTCGGTAAAACGCGCATCTCGCCGTCCGCGTACGCGAGAAACGTGGGAACGGGACGTCGGCCACGTCGCATTTAACCCGATTATCGTCGCGACGTTAACGGCGTTGGTAACGCGAGCGCGCGACAACAGCGGAAGGTCCAATAAAACGCGGGGCGACGCGCAGCGAGGTGACGTTTCCGCGCCGAGGGGGGCCCCCCCGACTGCGTTTCTCTCGCGTTTACGTTTGCGTTCGCACTTGGCGGAATGTTTTTTTTTCCTCTTAACGGCCGTGGCCGTTCGTGCGTCGCGATCGTATCTCGCGAGAGGATGGAACACGGAAAGAATCGCCTTGTTCTCTCGATGGTGACGCATAGCGGATATCTATAGTTTGATCGCGATGACGCGCCAGGATTTTATTACTTAGTTTCATCGTAAACAGAACGCGCGCTACGAATAAATCTCGCAAAACCATTTTTCCCTTGTGACCCTCTTTTCTTTCGAATCAGGAGATGGACGCGCGCGAAGTTGTCTTTTCCTATCGTGAACCGCATCGTGAGTTTGTTGTTCGTTTTCAGATGAGCCTCGTTCAAGGTGCAGATCGTGGGATGACGTAGGACCGGGCAAGATGGAAACGGTTAGCGGGAATTCGCACGCGCATCATTCCTCGTTAGAGACCAGCAGGTCCAACACGTCGACGCAGTCTGCGAGAAGCGAGGACTCCTGGTGCTCGGCGTCGGACCACGATCTCTCCTCCGATGACGAAAGCGAGAAGAGCAATATCAGTATTAAGTAAGTTCAATCTCCGTTACATAACGCTGACGAAGCTAAAGTCCATAATAAAAACTCGCCCGTTCGCTCCTTGCAGAAGCAACTGTCAATTGAGAAACACGTTGCATAAGGCGCGCACGCTTTGCGACAAGTGGCGGTTTCAGAATATGCCGGTGAACAACGTAGACCTCCTGGAGTCCCCGGGGAACCACGGCCGCCTCTCGAGGTGGTTCAGCATCCGCCGAGGTTCGTCGCATCATTATGACGTCGACTCCTCGGACACGGTGTCTCTGACCAGCCCGGTCAAAACGTCACAAATGCCACAGCTCTGTGAAGTGAGCATCTCTCCTTTACAGCTTTTCGTCCTCGACTGATCGCTCGTTTGTTTATTTGACCATTTTGCTTGAAAGGATATTAATCGAACAAATCGTATTTTAGGTCGACGAGGAGAACAGTGCTATGGTACAATTTCAATGCATGCAACAGCGAAGACAGGCTCCGCCTACGCTTCCACCGCCACCTCCAAATCTGTCCCCTCAGCAACTGAAACGCAGACATATCGTGGCTGCGATAGTACACTCCGAAAATAGTTATGTATCTACCTTGCAGAGATTGGTAAATGTACGTGTCGAGTAAACGATCTGACATCGCGTCAATGATGAAGAACGACGGGCGTTTTCTCATATCGGTTATTGCTTTCATCTTTAGGACTACAAGAAACCATTGGAGGAATCTTCGCCACCCATATTGAGTCAATCTAAAATTGGAACGTTGTTTCATAGGCTGCCTGAAATTTTACAATGCCATACGTTATTTAGAATTGCTCTGGCAGAATGTGTACGATCCTGGGACAAGGATGAAAAGCTGGGAGACGTATTCGTCGCGAGTTTTAGCAAGGCCATTGTTCTTGACATTTACAGCGGCTTTATAAATAACTTTTCTGTGGCGATGGATTTAGCTAAACAAGAATCGAAGAGAAAAACCGCACTCGCTGATTTTTTTAAGGTACTACCTCGCGAAATGATTCGTAAAAGTATCTTAATGTACTTGAGCTTTTAATTTTGTAATCGTTTTTATAGGTGAAGCAAATAAGTGCTCACGATAGATTATCTTTCTTTGGATTGATGGTCAAACCCGTGCAGAGGTTTCCACAATTTATCCTATTTTTACAAGTGAGTATATTAATGGGGTATGACATATAAGAAACAACTTTCAGTTGCATTAAAATAATACATATTTTGCATTTAGGATTTATTGAAGCATACACCACAAGGACACCATGACAGAATGTCACTGCAGTTAGCGTTAACGCAGCTCGAGAGTTTGGCAGAAATGCTGAACGAAAGGAAACGTGAAGCGGAACAATTCCAAGCGTTTAAAGAAATGTTGCGACACGTTTCTGGAAAGTTGTCACACCGTCCGCTTTCTTCAGCGTCACGTTACCTTATTAGAGAAGATAATGTCACGCAATTGGTAAGATTCATTCAACGAGTACAAATATGCGCTCAAACTACAACGTGATATATGTACAGGCAAACAATTATTTACAGGAGTTCAATCAAAATGGCATGATAACGAAATCCAAGAGAAGAAGGCTGTTGCTACTGAACGATCTAGTAGTGTGCGTTTCCGTTACCCCGAGATCTACGGAAGACTTTTCAGGAAACGAACGACTAACGTTAAAATGGACATATCCAGTGTCAGATATTGAGGTATGTAGAATACAAATATTATAGCACAATTTTTATAGTCTTGACAATTGAATATTGAAGTCAATTATTCGTGATAGTAAACTGATCAAACATTTCGTAAAAGTACGCATATAAAATTACTAATATCACTAACGAATCTATTTCAGATTCAAGACACTAGTACTTCTCCGACTTTAAGTCGATTGCTCACCGCTGGATTGAATAAGGGCGGTAGTTTAAAATCTGACAAAAGCGGAGAGTGCGGACAAGCAGCTGATGCAGACAGTCTCTGTGTAGAGATGAACGATCTTATGCACGATTACGAAGTAATGTCCAGAATAAGTGATTTGGTGGCCCAATTAAAGGGCAGATACGAGGTAGGGATAAAAATCTTCTATTATATCCCTTTGTATGATCGAAACAATTTAAGAGTTGTAATCGACTTGCGCGAACTAATGGATGTGTTTCTCTTATTTGAATTCAAAGGGGATGACGCTTCAGACTACCAAGCAAATTCTGCAATCGATACAAATGTCGATACAGCAGAAAGATGAGGACATGGTATGGGCCGATAGTTGTTGCCTCCAACTAGTCACGAAACAAGGTCAAATGTATACGTTTCAAACGGAAAATCCATTAGTGAAAAAGGATTGGATAACAGAGATGAGATTGGCGCAATTAGCTTTGGATCCTAATAACTCTCCATCGTGGGAAGTGCCTGAACAAGAGCAAAGACCGTCGACAAAAATGCCACTTTTCGTTAGTTCACAAGCCGTATATCATTCGCAACATCAGACCGAAGTAAGTCGAGATAAGAAATAGATATGTATATCGCTGTTTCTCTCTCTTATTGCTTATACATAACGTATTTACATGTTGCAATATATTTTGCTTGCAGGTGCGTTGCGGTTGTTATTATTCCATTGAAAACTCACGTCCCACGAGACGACGTGGTAGAAGTCAAAATTATTTGTGGATATGTACAGGAGATGGTATATCTAGCCACGTAACAATTTTCGGTCAATCGACAACAGCTTCGGCAACTTGTTTGAAACGTATAACCACTTTCGATCTGGTCGAGACTAGAGTGAGCGCTATCGAGTTTGTAAAAGGAGTGTCCAGCGAGTTTACCACGCTCGCCAGCGATCTCGTATGGATGGGCACGGATTCTCGGAGGATTATAATTTACGCCGCGACGGAACCCGAGAAAGAAGAAGAGATTGGCAGTTACCCCGTTTCGGGACCCGTAATAGAAATCAAGTATCATTGCGATAATGTTTTCGTAGCTTTAGGCACGGGCTTGTTACTTTTGTTCAAACGACAAATCGACGGCGCATGGAATCTCAAGGAACCCTTCAGCATATCACTTGGTAACGATCCTGTCTCGTGTCTAATGCCGATCAATACGTCAGTTTATGCCGCGTGTGGCAAGAAGGTGTGGGTACTTAACGCTACTTCGGGCGACATCATCAAGAGCTTCAGCGCGCAACACGAACACGTCGGGAACGTGAAGCTCATGGCCCATTCCGGAGTCGGTCTTTGGGTCGCCCTGAAAAACTCGAGCACAGTTTGCCTTTATCACACGGAAACATTTAAACACCTGCAAGATATCAATATAGCGTCTAATGTGTTGAGAGTGACGAAGATGAGTAATCCCGTCAACTCGAGCGGCGGCACTCTCGCTGTTAATAATCAAACCACGGTCACGGTCACGGCGCTTTTAGCATGCAAGGGTCTTTTATGGGTCGGCACTAATGTGGGCATTAGTCTGACTATTCCACTACCGCGATTGGAAGGTGTGCCTATTATCAGCGGTCGTGTCAATATCTCGTATCACGCTCACTTCGGTCCGATCACCTTTTTACTGGCCATACAAAATACGAAGAACACAGTGTACTCGGCGAAGGAACGCGTCAACGTTGATGACGAAAGTGTACAATTGAGAACGAGAGACACCGAGCAGAGATCGCGCGATAGGACCAGTTTAGATTCCTCTGTGAGTAGCAACATCGTGAAGCTGAAACAACAGCTAACCGGAAGCCCGGTGATGCTGAGAAGAAAGCGCAGCAAGGAGTACGACTGCAGAGGTTCGAAGACACTTCCGAGAGGATTAGGTGCTGGCTGTGGATTTCTGTCGAGCTCCTTTTCCAGCTCGCAAAGTTCCGGTGAAAACTGTGACGTTTATGGGCTTTATGGTGAATTGATGTATGTGAAGGATTATGAAAATGAAAACAATTCCGGCATAGATCCCATTTACGAGTCGTTGAGAAGAAGCGATCCAGAGTTGGCGGCCATACCAAATAAAGTGAGTACCTTGGATCGTAGATTAAAAATGAAAATTACTAGACCTAGATCGCTGGATCTTTCCAACTGGTCGGTGGACTCTCATGCTAGCTCCTTGTACACGTCTTCGGGATCGGAGGAGAACCTGTCTCTAAAAACTGGAAAGTTATCGCGTAATAGTAGCATAGCTAGTCGTAACGGTCCCTACGAACTCTCCACACCTAACAATAGCGTAGTAGAATCGGGATTGGAAACAACGCCCGCGACCAATCTCAAGGCGAACGGCAAGAAAAACGGCAAGGCGGTTCAGCAAGTAGAGCAACCCAAGAGAACGGTGCTAACGCTGATGGGTGGACGCGGTTACATCAATTGGAGGCAACTCCATGCGCAGTCCGGTGTTGACAAGAGTTCGAAATCGACCTACGCGTTCAAAGATCCTAACAGCAACGACGCACATATCGTCTTATGGGAGATGAAATTATGATATACGATCGCGTTTTTAGGCCTGTCGTTTATACATCAATGCGAGAAGCGAAATTTTGACGCTGATATGTATGTAGTATAGTAGACAATAGGACCAAAAGAGTACTGATAACACTTTAGATAAGATTGTTGATAATTGTAAAGAACTATCGGACACATGGTATAATCTCGATTGCGTAGGATTATGTAGCAGCGAGTATCCGTGTCTTTTCGGCTAGAATGTGACGTTACATTTAGTATTGATTGTTGGTTTAAAACAATTTAAACGAGAATCGAGCTACTGGAATCAATAAAGATGACTCGAGAGTATTAGAATATTGAACGTCCCTCGATTATTAAGATACTTAAGGGGGTATTTTGGTTTAAAATGTAAAAAGGGTATTTTTTAGGAATTTTTTGTAGGGAAACGAAAAAAGCGAATTAACGTTAAACTTTGCATGTTCTTTTAGCCTTATTTTAGAATATATTTTTATTTTCTAAGCAACAGACGTTCTTTTTTATAGTCACTTGGAGCTCGCAAAAAAACGCATATGGACGGTGTAAATGATTCTAGGTATCTGAAACGCAAAAATTTTATACAGGAGAAATGTGACAGAACTAAATATTTCCATTTCCGGTCCAGACCAATATGTCGATTCTGGACAAAAGGTGGCCTTTTTATTAAAAATAGTTCACACACAGACGATAGCTACATTTCTCTTGAATAAGTAAATTTTTGCGTTTCAGATACTAAGAATAGCTACAACCATTTACATCATTTATATGCGTTTTTTATTTGCGAGCTTTTAGTGACCAGGATAAAACAAAAAAGAAGAACATTTTTGTTACTTTAATAAAAAGATATTTTTTAAATATAGGTAAAAGAACATGCAAAGTTTAACGTTGTTCGCTTTTTTCGCTTCCTTACAATAGATTCTTAAAAAATATCTTTCTTTACGACCTTTTTCAAACTAGAATACTCCCTTGATAGAGGGACTGCACGCGGGTTTCTTTTTAATGAACAACTTTTCTAGGGAAGAATAACGCTTTATTAACTAAACAGACTGAGATATTTATCGATCGTTGCAACGCATGACAAGATTAATATAAATTAAATACCGAATACTCTTGTGCGTCAAAAGCGTGCTTCTATTGCGTATCGAAATAATTAATAATGTTTCGATACAACGTGTTGCTTCTAGACTTGAAATTTTTCGAAATTTATATCTCTGCTTAAGGTATTATCTGAATCTCGTTAGTGTATAATGAAACATGTGATAAGACTAAAAAATCTTGAGAAGGTGCACAAAAACGGAACTTAAACGGAGCTTAAACGGTTCCACATTGTACAACGTTTTTTTTTCTTTTTTTACATTTAATACTCGTGACACATGAGAATAATTGCTACAAAAGTGTTCCGCTCATGTTATATTATACGTAAACGTTCGCACTCAATTAAAACTAACACGTTGTTCGCGCGCGTACGCGTTATAATTAAAATTTAGATGATTAGCCGGGTCTCTGGACTACGCGTTCGTATGCGAAATATTCACCGCGTGCCCTGCAGAAATGCTGTATTTACATAAAATATTTTACGGCGTTGTTATGAATTATTATCACGTTGTTTTTCATACTCTGATACGTGTTATCTACGCAACATTAATTTGAGCGAAAATCGGTCGAACGTTATCCGGAAGTTATTCGGATTTTATACATTATGTCGATACACGCGGTATTATTTGTTTTTAAAATATATACATATGCATTGACTTATGTTTTAAGCGGTAATCTCTGTTCTTACATCGAACGACATTTAAACAATTATATCAAAGCTCATCGTTTGAAAAACTGTAATTACCAATATGATACACGCCGAATTGCGCGGGCGCAACTATTGACATGTTTTGGTAGATAGTGATGCTGTTTTGATATTCGACGTATGTTTATAAAGTTTCATAGTGGCCGTAATATAAGACAATATGATGCATCTGTACTGTAAAAATTCAATATTTCGCGAAATTATAAACTTTCATTCAGCTAAAGAAGTTAAGGAAATTGAGCCATTTATTCACAAAGTTCTAAAATTTGAAGAGCTACTTAAAATCTTATTGTTTACAAATTTTGGTGAATAATTCACCAATATTTAACGAACAGAATTTAAAAGTTTTTGTCATTTAACCATTTATTGATTTTTATGATAATTATTAAAATTAAAATGTTTATTAAATCCAGATTGTCGTTTATATAGAGATATACTCTTTATATATATATATAATAATAACGTAATAATGTATTTCGGAAAATAATTTTGGTTATCGAATGTTTATTAAAATTTTTCAGTTGCGATGATTATGTCCGTTTGGGATATGTGAAAACTTGTTTGCCAGCCAATATGAACGTGATTAAATAAACGGAGGACACCCCCTATTTACAGATTATAAAACATTAATTACCAACGGCTATTGCCTCTTGTGAAGGGATTATTAAAAAATTTATAGCTTCAGTTGTTCAATAAAAAAAAATATATATATACAATTTTTCATAAAATGTTAATGCTGTCCAGTTTTTGATACGATCGAGTCTTCAATGAAGAAATGCTGATCTGTGTATATATCTCTCTCGTATAAAATATAGTAATAGTGTATGTGTTATGAAACCGTTGAATAGATTTATATTTTGTACACTAAATTTTGTTTGAATACATAGCCTTATTTTGTATTTATACCTTTAGTACGCGCGTTAGTTACACAACGAAACTTTACTATGTATTTATTACTTATATAATATGATGTCACCGTTATAAATAGAAAATCTTGTTACTTTGCTGCGCCGAAAGAGTGCAGCGCTATAGTATACTTTCCGTTCATTGTAACATTATATGGCTACATTAAAATTATTTTAAATGAAACAAGAATCTCTCATTCTTTATATATATATGTATGTATATATATGGACACACAGTTGTTTATTTGAAAAATTACCAGGATTGTTCGCAAGGTGATTGAAGTGGGATGCAACCAGGTGATAGAAATAACTATCGTGGATTGATATAAAATGCAATCGAATGTATTATAATTTCTAACGTTATTTGTACAATGTTTAATTTAATACAATGCCCTTGCCCTTAATATCAACTGTCCTTCAGCACCTCCTTCAAAATAGATCCCGTATTTCTGGCTGGAATAAAGTCTGGGAATGTTGGAAGAGCGACGTTGGACAACAATAGTGTAGATTGCGTCGATGGCGATGATGACGATGACGACTGCTGTTTGTTATGTCCTGGTCGCGATGACGGCTGCGATTATAGCGTGTAATGAAAGTAATGTTTTTTAATGGAGGATTATCTCGCCGAGCTATTGTCACTTACTGAATTCATGATCGGCAAAGCTGGTAACTGAGGCTTCGGCTTGGATTCGCTTTCTAGAAATCTCACGAAGGCCGTTGATAAGGATGCTTCCTGATCCTGCGAGATATAGATCATTAGGTATCGGCGATGCGACTGCCAGTTGGTCAAGTTATTGAATTTTACAATGCAAACAGGTATTGATACTGATCGGTATAATAAAATTAATAAGTCCGTACTTTTAAAGACACGCCACTATTTTTGCTGGTTTGATTGCCGTGCGCCGTCACGCTGTTCAAGCCAGTCTTATCCTTCTCCGACTCGGTGAAGTCCAAGACGTTGGCAAAGACCCTGAGGATCGAAGACTTGTCCGACGTGGCCGAAGACAAGTAACCCAAGAGAAGATTTTTCACGAGAATTCTGCAAGATCGTTCAGAAGATAATTTTCGTTCGTTTCGTTAAGAAAGGAATATGTTTACTCACTTGTCGACTTTTCCCTCGTCATGTTCAACCACCTCTTTCATCTTTTGCTCAGCGAAATTTAAGGATGCTGTCAATCGTGCCACTAAAAACGAATATTACACATGTTATATCTATTACTGTTAATACGATTATAATAAAGGAAATAATTGTAATCGAGCGCTTTTTGTAAAGGATTGCAAATTTCTTCTTAAAATTTATTTTTGGAGAGGAAAGTGAGGAGGTAGAGAGGGTTTAGTAAATGCATTTATCCTCAGGGAACCGACGAATCTTTTGTGGAATGTCTCTGATTTTTTTTTTATGTACACCATGCGCGGCATCCATCGTTGTAAAGTCGGCTCGAATTGGTAGCTCGAAAAGACACGAGCGTAAGTATAACACAAGTACTGGTTGCCTCGATATCACACCAGTACCTGATGCAATACTCTCGCCTGCGCCTTAAGTTGCTCATGCTGCATTCTTCGTTTATCATGCCGTTCTACGAAACTAAGGTTGCGCGCATGCCACTAGAATTAAAGAAGCGTTTTAGTAAAACGATCCGTACTCCGGAGTCACGTACCGGAGCACGTTCGAACGGAATTTTCGAGAGAGATAAAGAGAGAGAGAGGGAAAAAGAGCAACTTACATACGTAACGCTTTATTTTTTGCCACTCCTCGAAATTTATTACTTAAAAAAAAAAAAAAAAAAAAAAACAGAATTACATGTAAATTTTTTTTACTAAAGACCAAAGAAAAGCGACCGATTTTTTTCTGACTGTTAAAAATGATCTTTGACTTTGATCTCATAATTTTGACGAATCTTGGTAACGGGTGGGAAACCCCACGAGGTAATATGAGCTTTTCGTATTTACACGCTCACAGTTACCGCATGAGATTACCCACGGCCATCGCTACCAAATTATTACTACGTGTTCGTTTATGCATTTATATTCGACATTTCTGCATTTTTACTTCTATTTAATATTCTTCATTTATATCTAATATTCGTACTTGTACACATTACAGCATATGGAATATCTCAAATTCATCACTACGATGCAATCTTGCGTGAAATTAAACAAAGGTGAAATTAAACAATTATATCTCGAATCGTCTAAACGATTATATGTATATAGAAATTAATTAAAGCTCCAACGTATTTTGTTTAGAAAAAATAAAATAATACTGGGAGAGGGATTGTAAACAAAAGCAGTGGCAATTGTTTCGTAACAATCCTACCTGTCATAATTAGTATACAACTATGATCGCACGATTCGATGTTTAAATATCGTTAATACAGCTGGCTTACACGTAGAGCAGGTCCGACAAATTACAAAATATTTTGTATCCTCTTTTGTACATCGTCCTATTATTTGCATGCGTTTCGGGCAGATAAAATACATTATCAAATTACATTATTGCGTGATTATTACATTATTAGACAATGTAAAATGAACAAGGCAATACCTACTACATGTGCAAAGGTAATAATAAGGTACAAATTTGATGTAACACACAGAAATAGATTGCTACTGGGGAATCGCTATGGTATACAGCCATTCAATCGTACTGTTAATTAGTCATCGTACTCATAATTAGTTGCGAGATAACAATAACACGAAATAAATGACTCGATCGAAAACAGGCGTTGAGGATACTGAACTGAGCTTATTCGTCATGTAAAAAAGAAAGTGTAACGTTAATACCTGTCCTTTTTCTGTTTAAGTTTCTGAACGTATTTTCGTTAGTCACCAACAAGGGATGGGGGGGGAAAAAAACAAGAACTCGCATGTGGTAAAGTGCAAAAAAAAAACGTAGTACCAGCACCAGCGGTAATTGCATGAACCAACCAATACGTGATATGTGAGTATGCAAAGGCGATGATCCAGTTCGTAGCCAGATACCAGCAAGAATCCTGGGCTACTGTCACAAATCCCAGAATTACCAGCTGATATTTGACTACATCACCGGATTGTGTACGTGTTTGCTTTCGCAGATTAGTCACAGGACGCGAACACACCGATGATTCTACAACTGTAGTTCATTTGCGCTCTCGACAATGCAACGCTTTTATCGTATCTTCTCCTCGTTCGTGTGTGTGTTACATGTTACGTAATAATATACGAATGACGTCCCTTCCGGTGCTACTACCTAAATCGTATCCAAACGATTCCTCGTGTGCGACGTGTGCTTTATGTTATTTACAAAGAAGCCATATATAAGATTGACGTATATTTCGTTCAGAGATCTACAGAGCAAGAATTTAGTAATGCCTTCGTGATACGTGACCGAATATTTTGCCGATTTATCATCGCAGCAGCTGCTAGGAAACTTTAGTATCGTTATCATTAGAGAGAGAAAGAAGGAACATGGACATTTTTTACATATCATTTTGACAGATTAATTTATATATGCTGCGATCTATAGTATTCGTAGCATTTGGCAAAACATTTTGGCTGTACTCACAAAACAACTTATTATACTTTATATATTTGAATAGCGTGATCAATTTTTCACTGTTATCAAGATGTGTTGCACTCTTCGCTGACAGTACGAATAAGTTGTCGCGACGCAGCAGGATGATACTATCGAATCGCTCTGACATGATTTTAATCTCATACTTTCTTTTTTTCTTTTTATTACACATTACGTCTATGCATATATTATATAGAATTTATATTTGATGCGTTATTAAATTTGTGCCGTAGCGCGCAATTCGACCTTTGTCAATCACAATGGGTTAAAATAAAAGCAGAAATATGTGTAAGAAAAATACGTGACCAGTCTTCTATATCGTGATAAAAAGAAAACTCATTCTCTCAACTTGCTTCTCACGATGCATAAAAGGAATTTAATTGAAAAACACTAATCATGCCATAAACAGGGAACAAGATGCAGGCAACGCCAGAAATACGTAATTTTTGGTCAATAATTACCTTCCTCGTTGAGTCGTTCGATTTGTTCGTCCTTCTTCTCGAGTTGTTCGCTCAGTCTAGAGGCAGCTTTCAAGTATTCTCTAGCTTCATATAATTGTTGCTGTAAGCACACGTATGTGCGATATATAGTTTTGCAAGAAAATAAATTCAGTCGGGCTGTTATGTGAATGCATGGGAAAGATATATAGGCAAACCTGAAGATTCGACATGTCATCTAATAATTTATCTTGTTTCTCATATGACTCAGTGAGTCGAGATCGAAGTCTCTCCGTAGCCGCCATGACATCGCGTTCTTTATCTGTAAATACGGCATATCATCAACACATCATAGTATTTGAAAACTACGTTACAGATATATATAATTATTATATATGCTGATATGATATATTGTAACAATGATGTATAAAATACTATTACTCACCTAGTTGAAATTGTTCCAAAACTATTTGCAAGTTAGTCAATGAGGCAGACTGCAGCTGAATGTTGTCCTCCGCGGCGGATAATTTTGCCTGTATCTGATCCCTCTGTTGAGTAATCAGAGCTATTTGTTGCTGCAACGTTTCCACTTGCTGATTAGCCCTGATATTTGCCGATGTGAAGGCGGTCGAACTACTTTTCACTTTTTCTTCAGCCTGTAATAATCTCGCTTCTAACTCTTGACGATTATTCTCGGCGATCAAGGCTTCCTCCGTATAACTCGATTCCATTTCGACCAAGTGCGTTCTCAGTCTCTCTAGTTCTTTAGCGGAGTTGGCTTCCTTGTTTTGAATTTCAGTAAGCTGGTTCTGCAGGAGTCTAGTGTTGGACTGTTCTTGCACCAGAGCAGCTTCTAAGGCGTCGCATTTTTTATTCAGAGCGACGATTTCGGCATTTTTGGAATGATCGACTCCATCGTGGCCTCTTTGTTGATTTTCTACATTCGCCTTGTAGCGCATCTCGTTCGCTGCTCGCTCCGAAATTAATTCCTGAATGCGAATCTCTTGTTCGTTTACGAGTTGAATCAACTTTTGAATCTCGTTTTGATATTGTAAGCTTTCATTGTGTTTAACAGAAACGAGTTGTTCGACCTCATTTTTCTGATTTTTTATCGCGGCAAGGTCGTACAAAGACTGCGCGATAATATTCTTCGCGTGAGTTATCTCAGCTTGTAAAGTGTTTATCTCTTGGTCTTTTTCTTGAATAATATGAGAAAGATCTTCAATAGTCTTTTTCGCCATCTCTGCCGACTCTTTATTATTCTCGAAAGCGGTTTGTAACTTGCTGCGCAAATCGTTAATTTCATCCATTAAGTTTTTGTTCTGTGCTTTTACGGCGTCTTTTTCTCGCCTTTCTTCATCGACAACTGATTTAAACATTTGTCGTTCGTCAGACATAGCCGTATTTTTTGTCATTAAATCGTGCTTTTCTGCTTCTGTACCTGTGTTTTCTCCAACTAAATTATCTTCAGCAGTTAAAAGTTCTTCCTCTTTATTAGTTTTATCTTTGTTTGCCGACGATATCTCCGTCGTATTTTTTTCAAATTTCTGTGTTTCTTTACGAAGCATTTCAACTTCTTGCTCCAAAAGCTCGCATTTTCGTGCCAAGCTCAATTCGTCTGTGAACGGCTCTTTAAGACTTGATTCATTTCCATGTCGTTCTATTTCTATCGCTTGACTTTGAATATCTTTCTTATGTAATTCAAATTCCTCATTTTGCATCTTTAATGCATAATATTTATTTTCCAGTTCTGTGTTACGTTGCTGCGTCTTGCATAATTTTTCCTTCAGCACAGGTAATTCTTCCTTATAAATCGACACCTCCTGTTTCAAATCTTCATGCTCTTGCTGAAGCACCGACATTTCTGTGTTCAACAACTCTATCTTATCCAAAGATTCATCGTGCGTAGCAGTTAATTGCTCTGACAGAGATATATTTTCTTTAATTAATCTGTCATTATCATGACTCAATTTTGTTATTTCAGATTGTCTCATGTCAACTTGAATATGCATCGCGTCCAATTCTTCTTCCTTGTGTGAAATATCATTTTCCAAATCTAATTTTTCACGATTGGCTTTGTCGAGCCGTTCTCGCAAGTTTTCCAACAGATAAACATTTTCTTCTTGTAGGTCACGTGCTTGCAAAGCCCTATCATATAATTGCATCTCAAAGTGTTCATTCTTCTGTAACAAATCTTTATTTTCTTCTGCCAATTTATTTACAGTATCCCGCAGAGATGCAAGATCAGTTTCTAACAATTTCGTTTTGGATACCGATAGCTTTAATTCTCCTTTCATCTTTTCATGATCGAATTTCAATTGCTCGATCGATACCATATCTTCGTTTGAGCTTTTACTCTTTTCTAAAACTATTGGAAGCTCTTTGTTTTCCTCTACATATGTATACAGTCTGCTATTTTTATCTACTTGTGAATTATCGTTGTTTGATAAAGGCACTTCGTTACTTTGTCTAGCGAACAAAGTTGAATTTGTTTCTCGTATCGTCTTGTTCTCAGCCGAAAGGCGTTTTACTTTTTCCCGTAGAGATTCAACGTCCATTTCTAGAGAAGCTACTCGTTCTTCGCTTGCCTCAGGAATAGATGGCAAATTCAAATCTAAACCCTGACACGATTTCATTCTCATATTTTTCTCTAATAATAACGAATCAATGTGAGATTGCAGTTCCTCGCATTCCATTTGCAGACCATCTTTCATCTCTTCGGTTTCCTTCAAATCTCTAGTAAGCTCCGTTACCTTCCTTTCCAAAACGTCTAGTTTCCATTTAGCATCGACGTACTGTTTCGCGACAGCTTCAAAGATCGATTCTCCCGGTTCAACGCTACTTATGGTACAGTTCTTTAAAATAGCTTTAACTTTCTCGGTAATATCGTCTAGACCGCTCGTTTCTGATACCACGTCAACTTCCTGCGAAGAAACTGTTATTTGAACGTGTTTGTCCGATTTATCCGCATTATCCGTCTGAACAGACTGATGAATTATTTCTGTACGGGTATTTTCATCGTATTTCAACATATCATTTCGCAATTCGATAATTTTTTTCTGGGCCTCATTGTAATCTATGGAAAGTTGTTCGTACGCATTTTGTAGAGAGCGATGCTTCTTACTACTTTCTTCTTTGAGCGACAATAGTTTTTCTGCGCAAAAAAATCGGAATTTATGTCACTACAGTTCTTGGCAACGATAAGATTATTAAACGAGAACGATTGATAAACTATAGAAAAGAGTCTACTGTTTACTTACCAATCGACTGCGTATGTTCCTCGTCCAATTTTTCCATAGCATCCAGAAGATCTTTATTTTCACTTTGGAGTTCCTCTATTCTCTTCTGCAACATCTCTTCTTTGTCGATCAAAAGTTCTTCAGCCGTATCGTGCGGCTTGCCCTGTTGCGAACTTGTATGTTTGAGAGCTAAAGGATTATATTCGAAATCATCAGCCTTTTCGAGTTCCTCGTTAGATTTCTCCTTAATTTTTTCATGCGTCTCGTTTTCGCTTTGTAAAGCTTTCAGTGCCCCGCTGACCAAATCGAACTTCTCACGTGAATTCAATTTCGATATTACCGAACGAAAATCGTTGATGAGACTGGCTTCGTCCAATTGGATATGTTTAGCGTTTCGTTCTGCTTCCCGAGTCTAAGAAAAAATGCAAAAGGTCGATACTAGATATCGTTAAAAAGTAATCTAATTTCAGTATGTGCTTCAATAAAATTTTAATTGTCCATTCGATTTTGTTAAAATCATCTTTAATAAATCAGAGAGATCGCTTACTATTCAAGATAGCGAAAAAAAAATCGTAATGTGATTAATAAAGAAACTTCAAAAAGATTAAGTATAGGGAACAAGTTCTCCTACTCGTAACAATATAACGAGTATTAATTCCTAAGAAATTGTTCCCACCGGATTAAAGTAGCACACGAACTCCAACGTGAAAAATCTAACTTCTGAGAAAACGTCTCTTTTTTTTCCTTTCTTTAATTATGTAACTTTATATTTTATGTACGGCCGGCTTTCTATTTTTTACACAAGAGCCTTCGCCTTCTCTTCGATTTTACCGTGACTCGAGGTCATCCTTATTTAAAATTTAGAATCGTAAGAGGAAGATGATGTCAAAAATGTATAATTGATATATCGCTCCGTACCTTTTCTTCCATTTGTATTATACGGTTCAGCATGTCTTGTTTCGCCCGTACGACCTCAGCCTTCTGATGTCCGTCGGATATATCATCCTTGAAGGACGCGTTGTTCACCTGCATATTATTTCCACCAACTTATAACGTCGTATTATCGGGGAAGGGGGGAGCGGCGGGGAGACTCTGCTGTTAACAATTATTACCTTCTGAACGTGCTTTAGCTCGCATTCTAATTCGCGTACTTTCACGGTGGCTTGTGCCAACTGCTCCTGCAACTGGCGTACATGACTCTGATTCCTGGCGTTGCGATTGTCGACGCACGACGGGTCCCAGAAGATCGTCCCTTCGGTCTCATCGGAATGACCCGCGTCCCTCTGCAACAAAAGACAGGATTACGAAGATGACGCGCGTCGAGCCGTCTTTTTCAACGAAATTCCAGAGGTCGAGACCGCGAGTTTTTCCTTCTGATTTGGAAGTCAATTTGTATCTAATCTACATCTCCAAGCTGGACGTAGATCTATCGGCAGAATTTACGTGTACAGCCAGATGCGGACGTGTCTTTGTGGGAGAGGAGGAAGGAACTTCAATAATAGAACAGGAAATCGAGACAATTAGTGATTCTCACGTGGCAGAGGTCTCTCGTTTGTGTCTTTAAAATGTGTGGCTCTTTGAAGACGGAAACACATTCGGATCGGCGTGTCCCATTTCATCGACGCAGATGCGTAACCGATACGGAAATCTTTTCGAGGTGAACGATACGCGTTGTCGAAATGCTAATGGCACGCACGGGCGTTATGCATACGGCCCTCCGACACGGGGAATAGCGTTGTGCTGCGGACGATCTTGCACGCGATAAAATGTCGATTTAATTCTCATCTGGCGCACCTCATCCAACTCGGATCGAGAAAGAAATGAGGAAAAAAGAAACGAAGAGATGAACGACGAGCGCGTTCGACGAGAGGAAAGCGCGGATGAAAGATGGCGAGCGGAAGATACGGCTTTGCGAGATTTATACCGCGTCCGATAGCGCGTGATTAGCGATACCAGACATGAGCAATAATATATGGTGTCGCTTCTTCTATACAGTCTCTCGGTACTCCGATCCGTCAGCGATACGTGTTCCCCGCCTTCCAGCTTCTCCAATTGAACGTGCTCGGAGGAAAAATTACCCCGTTGAACACTTTTAAATATTAAAGGATAACATTTGAACCAATACCTTGAGTCAAATAACATTTTTTTATTTTCAACTACCATATATATGTGTCGAGATTAATTATTTTTGTTGTTTTTAACTATCATATATGTCGAAATTTATTATTTTAACACAAAATAATAGATATTATTTTAACTCCATTGTTTTATTTAAATTAACGACATATTGAATAGGAGCAGACCTACAGGAATAGTTGAAAATGACTCAAATTGAGAATAATTTATCATCAGGAATTTAACAGTGAAGGCACCCCAACTGTACATACGTTATCGTGGGATTATTATTTAACATCTGTTTAACCCTTCCGTTATGTGGGAGCTATTTCTTTTTTCCCTTCGGTATCTTTCATACAAATCGATTCGTGCGTTGCATCGAAGACACGACGGTTGCGTTTCGTGGTCCAAAGCGGCGGCGGCGGGGGGGACTTCGAAGTGGGACGATCCTAATGAATATGAAAGGAGGTTTCGTTGGGTCAGGTCAAGGAATAATGCGTCGTTTGACTTGCATACAGTGCTCGCGACAAGAGTCTCCACCTTTCCTCCGCGGCGGCCTTTTTCTTTTTTTATTCGTTTTAACACCATTTCGGTATGTTAAGAGCGAACGGGACACGTTTAACGTCGCGCCGCCGCGACGACGATATATACGTCGCTCGCAAACGACATTTACGTAAAATCCAGACGATCCGCAAAAGTGGAATATACAATTACGCCAGTTTATTTGCATCGACTCGCATCGATGCGCGACGATCGCGGCTGCAAAAACCGTCTCGGACGACGCGGACGAGTAAGTAATTATTATTACGACTTCCAGCTCGCTCGAGCTATTATATGAAACCGACGTAAAAATCGTCCGTACGTTTTGTGTGCAAATGAAAAGCAAAGCCATAAAGCTGAATAATTCAATAGACGGAATTTGTTATTTCAGACCGGAGTGCAGCGTTCGTCGCGGAATAAAGGAGGAAGGGAGGAGGGAGTGAGGGATTTGCTCAAATTAACGTGTGCGGAAGAAATTTTACGCGCACCGAAATATATTTTTTTAGCCATCACCTTTTCGAACGTTTCTCTTTTACTTTCAACGTTGTACGCGTTGTACCCGATATCTACACGGCAAACATCGTCGCAATGCCGTTCCGCGCGCGCGGTCGGCGCATCGCGTAGATAACGCAATCCTGATACTAAGCGTGGGAAAGGAAGTTACTATCAATCGCAATGTAAACGCGCGCAAGTTATCGTAATCTCGCGAATGAAAAACTAACGAGGTGTACCTGATGCATTCGGTCGTCGTGCGTTGCGGTTTTAATGGCAAAATACGAGGGAGAAAAAGAAAGAGGAAAGGGAGTAGGAGGAAACGAAAGAAACGGTAGAACGAGTCGATTGGGAGGAACGAATTTCTAATAGAGCTCGCGCTCCAACGCCGATTCGGCGTGCAGATGTTACGTTTGCTCTACATGTCCATACGGGCCGGCAATGAAATCGCTATTACATCGCTATATAACGCCACGGGACACGTGCTCTCTTCCCAACTGGGACGCGCTCGCTCGAATCGTATATACGCTTCGAGATCTTTTTGCGCGACAAGTTGGTCGGAGGCACACGCGCGTCTCTCTCTCTCTCTCTTCTTTCGATTCGATTCTCTCTCTTTCTCTCGTAGGTTTTTCAAGCGGATCTTCGCCACGGCGGAGAACGCGTTGAGTATCGCTCGATCTTATCGCCTAATACGATTAAACGGAATTAGATATATATGTATGTATAACCGGGATTTAACAGGCCGCTAACGCATCGCCACGTACACGCTCGCGAGCGAAGACATTTTTCTTTCTCGAGTCGTTTTTCCTCGGAGAGGTAGCAAGGACGCGAGATCGCGACACTCGTGTGTGCGAGGCATCTCTCGGGCGACTCGCGCCACTTTGCGCATTTTTCATTCCTTTTTTGCTGATAATAAGGGATATATCGCTTACAGGTATTTCTCTCTTTTTCTTTCTTTCTCTCCTTCTCTCTCTCGCATGCGACGTTATGAAACACACACTCCGCTCGCGTGGAGGGGTTTCAGGTTAACGCGGTCTGCTCTAATAGCGTGGCAGGCATATTGTACCTGCGTCAGTAGGAACATAATAATGTCCACGATGCCAGTGACGTAACCGAGTGGCCGCGACGTTGCGCATATGCACGCATGCACGCACGCACGCACGCACCACACGCGCGCGCGCGCGCGCGCACGCAATGTTCACCGTGGTTCAGGGTTCAACAAATAATACTGAATAAATAACAGCATCTCGGTTGCGTTCTCCAGGTTCGTCTGCATCTCGCGCTTGCATCGGGGGGGTCGGGTGGGACGCGCGGTAAATAAAAACTCCGCACTCTCCGCCGACGTTCTCCAGTTACACGATTATACGTCGCCGACGATTATACGATTATACGATTCGTGTCGCGTCTAAATGACATTCCGGGATATTTCGATCGGGACGGGAGAGAAAAATAGGAACGCGGAATTCGGGAATCGCGCTGATTTTCGTGACAGTCCGGCGCGACGAGCGCCCCGGAGGAAAGCAATTTCCGTTCGACGGAATGAGAACCGCGGGTTACTATTTCCGGTTTCGACTCGCATGACCCTCGCATTGTCGAATATCCTGTGTCAAGTAATGCCCCGATCATGGATATTCCATTCGGTCGACTCTCTCGCGCGCGCGCGACGCGATAGCTCACCGCGGCGCGATAATAGAATTTGCTCGTTGATGGGGAGATCAGCGAAATCGACCGACGTGTCGTGTCGCGTCCTTCTTCGACGAAGGTCTCTCTCGCGGTACTCGAAATGCCGGCGCGGTCGATTAATTAGCGGCGCGGAGATACAGAGGGGAACGCTAATGAAAACGCGCGCGCGTCTCCCAGCGCCGGCGAGGATGCGCGCGAAGAAGAGGAGCATATTATCAACGAGCGTAGCGAATAACACACCGTCGCTGGTGTTAGATACTGAGAAGTTAGGGCTCAGCGCGTTTCTCGAGGCGAGAAATCGTCATCGGAGACGACGGCAAGAGTCAGCGAGTATAGCCCACGAGTGTATATACGGCAGAAAAAAAATTGTATACGGCGGTAATACCGTGTCGCGCGAAGATTCATGCCTCTATGCCTCGCACCAGACGTTCTTGATCTTTGATCGCGGTGCGAGAGAAAAGAGATCTTTCTTTACGAACGCCAGCCGCACACAGACGGTTCGATACCGACGCCTCAATATCGCTCTCATTGATTCGCCGATGTTATAATTGGCGAGATCTTCGATATCTTTTTCTTCGAGAAAGTGATCTTTCTCTCCGTATCGTCGGGATCGCCGGAGTCGCTTGGCGTGCGATGTCGAACGTCGCGCGTTTAATCCATCTCTATCCGTTCAGTTTGTATATACGTATATCTATATCCGATCATCCTCCGGTTTAACGCTTATGTTTATTAATGCCGACGACAATACTTGAAAGTCTTCGAAACGATGAATGCACAAACGTGGCGTTCTTATATCGCCATTGTGCGAGCGAAGGCGAATGAATAGCCCATAATACTTTTTACCATCTACACAGAATCCTTTTACCCCTTTCCGAGACTGTATTTGCATGTGTGCGCGAGCGCGCGTGTGCCTCACTTAGGTCAATAGACTTAATTTTCTGATGCCGAATCCAAGGTACGTAATCGATCAACATGTATATCTTATACACTGTTAAATTCGTAATGTCACACATTATATTGAATTTGAGCCACTTTTAACCATTCCTGTAAGTCGCCACTGCTCTTAGCCAATATATCGTTAATTAACTAAACTAATGGACTTAAAATAATACAGTTTTGCGTTAAAATAATAAAATTCGACATATATATGATAGTTAAAAATAACAAAATGTTATTTAATTCAAGGTATTGGTTTAACTAAACCAATGGAGTTAATAAAATACCTACTGTTTTAAGTTAAAATAATAAATTTCGACACACTTAGTAGTTAAAAATAACAAAATATTACTTAACTCAAGGTATTGATTTAAATTTTGTCCTTTAATATTTAACAGCGTACACCGAACATACATACCGCCCGTTGCGTGTAAGGATATCCAAATGATTCCATGGGTTTCAACGAACCCCCCGATTGTTACCCTAAGTCACGTCCATTTAGTCCTATTATAACAAG